TGTGTTAGTGGGTTCACTTGTTCTTTCTCAAGTTTAGGTTTAGCCAGTGCAGGACAACAGTAGGGAAGTGAAAGGAGGGGGAGTGAGGTGAGGGAGAGTGGACTCCTCTGCTTTCTTTCTTCAGGGTGGCCTTGAACTGGCCCTGACTCTCAAAGGAAGACTGTAGCACGTCTCAAGGCGGCCCACTTCACACAGCTCTCTCTCCCCCCAGGTTCCAGGAATTCTCTTTTTTCTTCTCCCTTCAAAAACAAGGGGTTTGGGGGCGGGGATTTAGCTCAGTGGTTCTGCCTCCTGCCTTGCAAGGGCAATGTCCTGAGTTCTATTCCCAGTACCAAAAAAAAAAAAAAAGGAGGGTAGAGTTATTGCAACACTGCTGTACTCCCATTTATGGTTTCCTTGTTCTGCACAGACCTTCATACATCCTTTCATTAAGCTGTCTTTGCACAACCCAGTTTCAGAGAACTATGTGCTCCCTTCTGGGACCTTGAATAATGCAAGTATAAAATGCTTTGAGCAATGAGCGAGTGAGCACTGTCTGATAGCCAAAGTACAAGAGAGAAGCGAAGAAGACCTGAGCTGCACAGGAAGCAGTGGAGATGGAAGAGAGGGCCAGTGAATAAAGCATCACAGAAGAGGAGCAACCAGACCGGAGAACTACTGGCTCTCCCTTTATACTTCTGCCTCTTTTTCAGCATCCATGACGACCAAACTTAATCCCAGTGCTTAGCATTAAAAATAACTACCTTTAAATCCTTAATAGGGAGATGTGTTCTGTTGCCTCTAAAGACCCTTTAATTCTTTCAACCCAGAGTGGCAGAATGCTGGTGACAAAGGCATCAGGTCACCAACTACCACATCAGCTCCCTTCCCAGCTTGGAGATCAATTGCCCTTTTCTTCGCCACTCTTCTGGTCAGTCGCCCCTCTTGCCCTCTTGAGGTCTCATTTCCTAATCATGTGTATTGTGATAGCCAAAGAATAAATGAACATACTGTGGATTTTTGGCTTCCTTGGTAACACTAACCACATTTCAGGTGCTGCCAGTCCCCTACACCCTGTTGAACGATGCCTATTGAATAATAATAAATGGCCAAATCTCTTTGAAAGCCAGAAGGTCAGCAATCTCAATGCTTGTCTCACCATAAAGTAAGGATGTGAATCATGAGACAACAGAGATTTTTGCAGAAAAATAGATACTTCAGGCAATCATCTGCTGATATAGGCCTCATGTAATTTTCACAAGGAGATCATCAATTGTTTGAGCTTTTCCTACCAACCAGAGGGTCTCTTTACTTCTGCAGGACCAAATTAGCAAGATCCAACAGGTAGCTTAAGAAGAGGAGAAGCACAACTGGGGAAAACCTAGACAATCTGCAGCTCACTAAAGGATGCGGTTTTGGCTTTGATACCAAAATATCTGTCCCTATCCTCACCCAAATATCTTCTCAGTCAGGTAAGATTAGAGTGAGGAGCCTTGTGCTTTTTCCATTTGTTGATAAGGATGGAGACAAAAATATATATTATTTGTTACACCAATATCCTTGTTATTGATGGTTAGTTAAAGAAAACACACTAGGTTTATCTATATGAAAAATTGACAAAAGTTAAGATGTAAAACATTAGGATAAAAGTCCAAGACCAGTCAGTGATAACAGATACGAATATGCAAAAATGGCATTACCCCATAAGCAAAATTAATAGCATTCGCAAAATATATACAATGGGGTCAAGGCCAGGATGTCAAATTAAAGCTGTTTAAAATGCAAAATACCATGAGTTCTAAGTATTACAATACTGCTTTCTTATTAATTCATTTCTGGCTTGTGCAATACATCCCAACTTTGAAGCCTAGAGACAGAATCAAATCTGGTTTTAGGGGAAACATCGAGAGTAAATATAAGTCAAATGATGTTAAATTAGAAAAAAAATCAGAGGGTGATTCTGCTCTTGGAGAGGGAGAAAGAGAACAAAGATGGTCAGAACTCAACCATAAGCAAGTGAGATGTAACTAGAGCTTGCAGACACAAAGTCCTCCAAGTTCTTTCTTCACTGGGACTGGAGGGAACCCAGTCAGATGAAGAGAAAGTGGCTGCTCATGTTTTCTGAACTGAGGTCTAGAACTCAAGGATTATCTGGACCACCTGGAACTGAAGTAAAGAGAGGGTGGCCAGCTGAGTCTGCTCTGCTTGTAAAAGTCAAGTTTTGAATGCAGACATGAAACATAACATCAGAAATAGAAGTTCTGCTTCCGGTGGAACTATGGCTGACCATGTTGCTTTGAACAAACTCTTCTAATGAGAACATCTAGGAAAGATGAAAAAGTATTTGAAACATGTTTTGAAGAAAATAAAGATATGCAAAATTGTGAGGAATTTCTGGGCTAAGGAGTAAGATTTTGGAGATAAAGTAACCCCAGAAAGTTGAAAAGGATCATTTTCTCCTGAAGAAAACTGCTTGACAGTTATAGATGAGAGGCAAATAAGCTATACAGAGTTTTTGGCTAGATTAACAAAATCTGGAGCTCAGAAACTACCACAGAAGAGATACTTTGGTAAACACTTCAAGCTTTCAAGTGGGATCCAAAAAAGAAACACACCCTAGGAGTAAGGAGGTAGCAGGAATTGAAACCCAGTTGTAAAATCTGTCATGACTGATTTAACTCTGGTGACCTGGTGTTGCTAGTACCAGACTAACCACTTGCCAAGTACAAGGGGAATACTTTTTAGAAGCACATGATCTTATGTTAAGCCTCAAATTATTGTTATAGTTTTTCATGTAGAATACAAAGCACTCAGTGGAAAATATCAGCCAAGAAGATCTGACCAATAGACAATTAAAAACAGCCAATAGAAAAAGACCCATGGAGGATTCAGTTAATAGGATTATTGGGCATAGACTTCAAAATAATTAACATTTTTAAAGACTTATAACACAAAATGAGGATTTTTTTACAAACTGCAGGCAATATAAAAGACTACGTACATAAAGGAGATACTTAGTAAGCTGGGATATATGTATGTCAGAAGAAAACAGCTGCTATAAAATAGGATGAGACAAATTGATGGAAAAATACAAAAAAAAAAGACTCTGACATGTGTACAGAAACAGTAAAAATGTTTAAAACACCTGTAATTCAGGCTCCAGAAGGAAAAGACAGTAAGAATAGAGAAGTAATAGATGAAAAGATAGTGATCAGGATTGACTCCAAACTCACAAAAATTATCACACCACATATTGAAAATATTTAAATCCCAAATAGAATAAATGCAAAGCTAACTACCTTTAATCATATCATTACACAATTGCTGAAAAGTAAAGACAAGAATATTTTAAAAGAACCAAACAAAGAGACCATATTTTCAAAGGAGCAAAAATAAGACCTGTTTTCTCAACAAAACATAGAAAGCTAGACAATGAAACACTATTTTTTTTATGCTGAAAGAAAACAATTGCCAACATAGAAATTCGTATCTAATAAGACAAGTATATCATTTTTAAATTGGGGTAGGGGGAACAGTTGTAGACCAACAAAAACCAAAATAATCCATTGCCAGCCATCCTGGTTATATACTACAGGATATTCTTTAGGTAGAAAAAATGACCCCAGTTACAAGGTAGGAATGCAGCATGAAGTGAAGAATGACAAAAAGGGTAAATCTAAATGAATATTGACTCATAAGACAATCATAATTCATTTGAGGACTTAAACTACAAAGAACAGAAAAGAATGATAATAATAGCAATAAGTTGGAGAGGGATAGAAATAAAAAAATTTCAACATAGGTTGTGCAAGTTTCTTGCATAATCCAGGAAATGATAAGTACTATTTTAGAAGTACTAATATAGATACATTTTATTAAGTCAGGGGTATATTTTATGATGTCTAATGTATCCACTAAAAGAATGCATAGCCAACAAATAGGTCTTTTTAATAATAAAAAGAAACAATTCAAAGGTGAGCATGGCAGAATAGGGAAAAAAAGACAAATATCAACAAAATAGGACGGCAACTCTGACCCACATACACCAGTAACAACAGAACCAAGTACATAGTCCAAAAAGAGCAATCTGGAGCTGTAGGGTTGAGTTAGTAACTGAGAGGAACCACAGGAGGAAGGAAAGTGAATCTAGGGAGCATGGTCAGGTTAAAGGTAAAAAACAGTATTGGGAGATCAACGATGTGTTCCCTAAAACGTCTGTGCAGCGAGTTGAATGGCAGTGAACCAGGCTGACAAAATGCAGAGTGGGAATCCTTCCACTCATCCAGATCAACAGCTACCAGTATGGGACACAGCAATGACAGTGTCATATTTCTTCCTCGTTTACAGAGCTGTCACATGAAATGCCACCTGTTCATCACAACTTTATAGTATAGAGCAAGCAGTTTTACACTTTACATATGAAGAAATGGGGACATGAAAAAATTCAGTAACAACTCTAAAATCGTACACTCTGCTGAACTAGAAAGTAAATCTTTCAATTCCCCAACTGCAACCCTTTCAGCTACATGACCTCTGAAGCTAAAGTGACAGAGGACATACAGCCTGCTGACTTTGTCAAGTGTCTTCCACTCCTACATTTTGGAGTGTTTGTTTCCCATCCTTCAGAAGAGCTGGGTTATCCAGCACTACCAAACAGGTGCAGAAACTAAATGGGTCCCTCTACTAAAAGGCCTCACACAGAGTAAACATCCCCTCTGCTGCATCCAACTCGTGGTAGAGAAATTAAACTCTCAGAGCAGCGGTTGAAGGGACAGGCAGGGAACAGTCACTGTAGGTGATAGCAAGACTGGTAGTACATAGGCCCAGCCTTCCAGGAGCTCCCAGCCAGGAAGAAGGACAAGGGAACAGCACAAGTGCACTAAGTGCAGACAAGACCATGGATAGGCACAAGGAGCGGTGGGAGACCACACCTTGGTCTCTGAAAAGTACGAGGACCTGAATGCACCAGGGCAACAGGGACAGAGTTGCTGGTGACTGAGATGTGCAGCCAGAGCCGTTACCTTTCTGGCCAACGTCACCACCCTGAAGGCTGCTGTGCCGATAATCGCCAGCGCTGCAACCGCAGCTCCAAGCAATGCAATCTGGATCCAGGTGCTGGTCTCGGCCACTAAAGGGAGGATACAAGAGAGGTCAATGGCAGAGGCAGGGGCACAGTTGCCCTCCCCAAGGAAAGCTTCAGCTTCAAGACAGAGGGAGGGACTGGCCAGGCCTTTTCTCTAAACACAGAACTGGCATCCTTAAGCCCAGCTCTCTGGAAAGTAAAACATCCTCTCAGGCTATATCCAAATCAATGACTGATCTCCTAAGTAGAGGCATAAGTCAGGTATTTGATCAAGAGCATATCATTTTTAACACTCCTTCCCTCTATGCAACAAAACCATTTTCAGTAATCATGGAATTAAACACTAATACCATCCAGAAGGAAACACAGAAAGTAAACATTTTCATATATACATATGAAAAAAAATATATCCATACCAGTAGAAATAGTTTACTTAGAAATTAAAATAAGTTAATACTAACCTACAAAGTGAAAAGGCATATACCCTTTCGCCTTAACCCTGTAACAATGATTTCCTGCTAGGCTATGGAAACCTGGAAAGAGAAAGCATCCGGAATCTTATGCTTTGGTGCATTCCCAGCTCTTGGCACATAGTAGATGCTCAATAAATATTTATGATATGAATGAAAACATGAACAAATGAGTTTCTTTAGCACAAAAAATGTAAATGGAAGGAAGAAGAGGCGAGAGAGGAGTTTTGAAGACAGGCATATTTGGTTCAAAGAGAATATGAGAGAAACAAGGTGGCCCCTGTAGATTCTGTGCTATCGGCAAAAGGGTTCTGGGGCACTTCATCCCCTCTCTAACCCCAGGGTCTTGGGCAGGACCCAGGACATGGGCATTGCCTGTAATGGCCAAACCCCCTACATTTTGCTCTTCCAGCTCTGAGACCCAGGCACCACAGGCCAGGCTAGCCCCTGGTTAGCCAAAGCAATGAGGTCATTCAGGAAGAAAGAGGGCAGGAGGAAAGGAAAGTCACACATCAGAGCTCAGAGGGAACACTGAAAGCACCCTACAGATCACAGAGGACAGGTGGCCAAGGGGAGAAGGAAGAGCTAGGGTGATAGCCAGGACCAGGACTGGATTCTCTTACAACGTGAGGATAGTTGAATAGGGGAAATAAAACTATGATGAAATTTTTAAAAGATTATGATGACAGGTTTGGTTTTAGGTTTAAGTTAGAGATACTTAGGACCACAGAAGTATTTAAGATATTGAGTAAGTATTTATGTTCATTAGGAACTATTGGTTTGAAAGAAAAACACCAGTTCCTCCAATCCCAGTTGTAGTCACAGAACAAAGACTTTAAGGCCTTTGAAATAAAAGCAGCCCTTCGACAAGCATCAGCACAAGCAGTGGGGAAGGGTAGACTGCATGAGGGATACTAAGGCTCGTGCCTAGTAACCATGTTAGCTTTAAGGTTAAGTTCAACTTTAGGTTAAGTTAAAGGTTAGAAATTGCTTAACTGTTATAGTTAGTAGGGCCTTGGACTAAGGTTTGAGATGGAAAGAAGACAGAGTTAGCCAGGCAAAGAAGTAATCTTGGTATTTTGGGAGGCTGAGGAAGGCAGATCAAATCAAAAGTTTGAGCCCAACATGGGCAATTTGGCAACTTACAGAGACCTTGTCTCAAAGTGAAAAGTAAAAAGGGCTGAGCTCAAGCATGAGGGCCTTGGGTTCAATGCCCAATACTGCAAAATTAAAAATAAACAAAAAAGACAATGGGATTTGGGTTAGTGTACATGATTAATGGAGAGTAAGCATTTCACATAAGCAACTGACCCCTTGAGAAACAGGAAGAGAGACATAAGTGGCTAGTGGTATTTCCTGAGGTTCACTGGAGCAAAAACAGAAGAAACCTACAAGCTTTGGGCAAGGGTTGGGTTCAACAGAATGTCTTCTGAGCACTCTCCCCAGGTTGTCTGTGGGACACAGGGAGGAAACTTGTGCCCCTCATTTCTTCATCTTCACAGCTGCGCCACCGTGGCCAGGAAGGAGCATGCTTGTCAGCAGCATCAGCCCCTGAACATCTGGCCCGGACACCAGCAACACACATAGCTCCTTCTGTTCTCCAACTCCCGGGTCTTCCAGCCCACAGGGCCTTCTACCTGGACCCTCTCCTATACTGGTCCTGTAGTCTAGTGACAGGCCACCGCGTTTTATAAATATAAACACTGAGAAAAAGTTAGATAATTTGCCCAACTTACTCAGGTACACAACAACACTCAGCCCCAGGCAACATGATTCCAGACGCTGGATCTTAACTGCCTACTGCATTTGTCCTACATCAGAGCCAGCCAAGAAGCAACATTTGAAAGGAAACTCTAAGTAGGCAGTCTTTTAGCTTCTCAATTTAAATGCATTTTGAAAACTTACAAGAATTCATCTCTGACACAACTGATGGCAGAAAGTAGAAATTCTGAGTGTGGAGTTTCACGGAACCAGAATACCAGTGTTACCATCAGCTCTGTCACTCTGGCAGCTCCAAGGCTCAGCTCCCACCTCTGTCAAGCCGTCAAACGGGGACTATATTCAGGCAGCACTAACATGGTGCTCACCATGTCCTAGGCACTGTTCTGAAGACATGTGTGGTGGGCAGTTCAGTCCTACATTAGCTCCTCCTAAGGTCTTTCATCTGGCCTTGATGCACTGATGAGGAGACTGACTCACACAGGAGCTGAGTTATCTTGTCTGAGTCAACAGCAGAGCAAGATTTGCGCCCAGGCTGCAAAATCTGAGTGCTTAACCAATCTGCCACACTGTCACTTAGACATGATATATAATCCTTTCCCAACACCTGGACATGTGGGGGCATCTTGGAAATTTTGAAATGGCACACAAATATCGATTAACGTCCATTTACTTAGGACAGGTTGTACTTTGTTTTTAACCAGCTCCAATATTTATAAATGTAAGAATTAGTTCTAATTTTCATTATTGATACTAAGACAATACACGAGCACTCTTTGCATGTAAGCTCATCAATGAATCTTCTAAGTACACACTTGCTGTACATAATGTTTATATTCCTTGTGTGGAGCTGATACATGTCCATAACATTTTCATTCCTCTTTTCCTCCCCTTCCCTCCCTTCTTGATCCCCTTTCCACTTAAGAAAGTTCTGTCTCCCTATTTCCTATTGTCTATCTTTTATTTTGCTCTTTATTTATAATAGACTTTCAAAGCTCCTAGGGTAATTCAAATATGCTCAGTGTTGGGGGAATCCTACTTCCAAGTATGTGTCCATGATGTTTTCTATGTTAGAGAAAAAGGTTCATCAGCTACCTGCTCCAGTGCACCTACCTGGGCTTCCTTGGACCTCCAGGAAGATTCTCCCCCTGTAAATCCCATCAGGGTATGTGTGGTAGATGCAGAGGTACTCCCCTGTGTCATTCACAGTCAGCAAATGGAAGGTGAGGCCCTGGCTGGGGCCCGGGGACACCCGCTCACGAAAGGCTGGGCTGATGTACCACCCAAAGTGAGGATGACAGATGGCCAGGAGTTGGTCTTGCTGCTCCCAGTTGACCTGGGTCACTTCAGCCATGGTGGAGGAGAGGTGACATTGTAAGATGACAGAGTCACCTTCCTTTGCTGAAATGTTCCCCTGTGTTACTACTGTGCCTTCCACAGATGGAAAAAACACTATGGAGAGAGGAAAAAACACTATGAGTCCCAGGTCAACAACTGCATTCAACCTTCCTATAGAAATTCCAAGGTGTTCCAAGGCCAGAACTGGATTCAGGAACCATAATTTCTCCAGTACCTCTGATTGCTCTCCCATATAGACTATTTCCTATTTCCCCCAATTTCAAGAGATGTTTCCCTCCACGGCTATCATTCAAGCCTCCCAGTGCCAACCCAAGGGCCCTTTCCAGTCTTGGCTTTCCCCATGCCACTCCATTCTCTCCAGCCCATCTTCTTCCCTCTGTCACCTCTACTACCTCTGCTTCCAGAGCGTGATTCTGCTCCCCTTGTCAGGATCCCACCCAGAGGCTCATCAAAGCTGCACTTCCTCCCCAGAATCCATGAGGACCTCAGTCGGGCGTGACCACCCAATTCCTTTCACACTCAGTGCCCCCATTGCACAGCTCTCACCCTCGGGGTATTCTGTTTTATTGCTTCACAACTAGCTCATGTGCTTCTTTTGTCTTTCCATGTGGAATGCAAGCCCTCTGCCAACACCACCTCTTCTACTTTTGCATTTTTCAGCAGCCTGGTCCTGTCCTGGATATCTTAGCCTGTGAAGTAAAACCTGGATATCTGGTTGATTGCCATTTGGCTCATCTGGAGAACCCTTCAGGAAAGCCAAGAAATCCCAGGGAAAGGAGATATGGCAAAAGAAACCTCTGCTTCTTCCAGGAAGAATGACCTTCTTCAGTGCTTACCTCTCCCCAGCACCATGGTGCACCTCTCTGCCTTCAGAAGGTTCAGGGAACAACAATAAAACTAATTTCTCCTACAGTTCTCAAATATTTGTGTCTCTCTCCCTCAGAAATTCTTAGCTCTGATTTTTAATAGAGAAGAAATAAATGTAACAAAAACTCAGTCTGAAATGGTTAGACCCTGTAGAATCTGTGGAGAAATTTTGTTCAACTGTTAACTATCTACATCGTTTTGCTGGAAAGTTCCTCAAAATGGAAAAGAAGATTGAGTGAGTTTCTAAAGGCCCTTTCCTCTTTCTTGGCCTCCCTCTTGGTTCCTTCTCCTTTCCCTGCTTCCTTTCTCTCTGGCAAGTCAGATCCCCCACCCTGAAGATCTACAAATCCCTTTATTTGCCACCCAAACAGAGCTTCACCTCTTTCTCAGAGATGCCTTTTCTTAAGTAAGGGTGTGCAGGGCCACAGACCCAACTTTCCTTCCCTCAAACAGATAAAGCATGAGCTTCAGGCCTTCTCTCCCAGAGCACCAGGACCCTACCAAGCTCAGCTTTATTCTTTCTCCCTCCTGCTCTGCATGGTGTTCAGCCTTACCTGAGGTGAGGACAGCAGCCTGCCTCAGCCCCTGGGCCCAGATCAGGATCAGACACCAGCACATGCTTCTGCCCAGGGCGCTGACAGGAAGCAGATGTGGTCTCCACTGTGACTGAAACTGGCCAGCGACAGGTGGTAAAATGAGACAAACCTCGGAGGGAAGAGGGTCTCGGAAAAACTGAGCTCAGCAAAAGCAATGTCAAAACCTAGATAAAACTCTCAACAAGTAAACAAACTGCACAGAGCGAGGCACAGGAAAGTCTGTGAAAGAAATGCAATTTAAAATAAACCAAAAAAATGTGGGTAGAGATATGCCAGTCTTCGTGAACTATAAATTAAGCTATTCATTTTAAGCTCTATCTTCATGCACTTTTTCAAAAATCAGCCTTTATTTAAAGAGTTCAAGGGCATCTGTGGCCAGTGAGGAACTGCTTGCTCACTGGGTTCCCCCAACTGCTGATGAATGTGCAGCAATAATGTGCAGCAATAAATAGGAGGAACACGTTTAAACCAGACACCGCACTTGAAATCTAACAACAGGGGACAATACATGGGTAAGAGCAAGGTCTTCGACAGAGCAACTTTCTTGGAAAGAGATCCACTCCTCAAATCCTATTTTTGTCTTGTTTATCTGGGTTGAGACTTCAGAGTCCTGGCTCAGTTCCTCTGAGGCAGTAGAATCAGAAGAGATGAGAAGATTGTGCTTTCCTGAACACAGTGGCCTTGTAAATGTTGGGCATGTGGAGAAGGGTAAATCCCGTGGACCTGGCTTGTAGCCAGGACAGAGATGGGTTGCTTCTTATGTGAAGCACCCTGCTCATCACCAGGCCCTGCAGTTGACCTATTCCTCCTTCCTTTCTTCCTTCCTCTCACCCTCCCTCCTTCACTCATTTAAAATTTCCTGAGTGCCTGCACAACACCAGACTCAGTGCCACACTTGGAATAATTGCAGTTTTGCTTTAAAAGAGTTTTCAGACTGTGTTCTCCAGGGGAGCCATTTAGGAGAAGAGACTGGAGCCACCGCATTCACGTGCCTCCCAGACTGTCACCATGGCTACTTTGGACATGCTGCCTGGTAAGTGCTTTGCACATCTGTATCTCCACTAGGGGAAGCGTCCAAGCTTATTGTCCTGCCCCCTCCATTCCAGAAAAATACCCTGAGCACCTACCACCATCGAGGCTTCTTTTTCCCTGCAGAGCATTCTATCTCAAATGCTGGGTTCTGCCCACTCTAACTCTACACCATGACACATGTGCCACACACATCTCTCCTCCAGTCCTCTAGACAATGAATGGAGCCCTTGCCAACTACTCTGCACCTACCCAAATTAAGCTTGCCTTTCAAAACTCACATCAAGAGACATTTCCACCAACTTTCAGTAGCCACAGTGCCTTCAGATGAAGGAGCAATAGTGCCTAACATTGTCCATAGGAAGGCACTGAGGTTGAATAGGAGAGGTGTTGCCAAAATTGGTTGCCAAAGTAGAGATGTGAGATGGGAGAGCCAGAAGCAATGGGAATGTAGCACATAAAAATGTGGATGCTTGGATTTTCTCTGTAGAAATGTACAGCCTGTTTATTGGGGTGGGTGGGAATGAAAGAAATGGACTTGTGTTAGGTCCAAAGAAACTTAGGAGTTGCTTTAAAAAGAAGTTAAAGAATTTTTCTATTTATTTCTAAGCAACCAGACCCAAGAGGAACAAGGTCAAGTCCAGTTTGATCAGTGGTAGTCTTCAGAGACATTCAAAAGTAACAAGGGACTAGAGAGTAATACCTGAGACCACAGTCATCCTGGTCTGGTGACCAAAGGAAAACTACTCAATGGCCTTGAGCCTCAGTTTCCTTATCTGCATATAAGAATCACAGAACCTCCTTCATACAGTTGTTGTAAGGATTTGATGAACTAAAGTTTGGTAAAGTGCTTAACACAGTGCCTGGAACACAAGAAAGTTCTGATAAATTAATTACAGTATTGATAACATTAATGGAGGAACCAAAAAGAAAAAGGAGGATATATCCCTCTCTATTTAATGTATTTCCCCAAGCGTGAAACCTTAGTCTCTGGTCTCCAGGGCCAAGGTTCTATAGGACCCCTTCATTCTGTCATATGGATCTAAGGTAAGAACATGAGGACACAATATGTCTGCAGGCAAGTGGCTACTGTGCTGGTTAGACCCAGAACTGCCTTGGTGGAAACTAAGTGACAGGAGAGTCTTCCAGGAAACCTTCCACAAGCCCCTCTGTGAGCCTCCCATAGGAACTCCTCACTGAATTCAGCTGCTCCTGCTGCCCACACAGCAATGGCCCCTGCCGGCTTTGGGGAGCAGGCCTGGTGAAAGCTCCAGGTCCACCCTGTGCTTTGGGACCATTCCGGAGCACCTGTGGTAGAGTATGAGCTTCTGAGTTCAATCACATGCTGATTCTTCTATTTCAAAGTTCTAAAATGAGCCACCTTACTTCTTTTTCTCCCCTGACTTCTGGGGCTGTGGTTGGACAGGTCTTGATGTGTGGAGGTGCTAGGAAGGGTCTTCATATTTGCCTGAAGAAGGAGAAGAAGTGAGGGCCTCCAATGAATGCAAAACACTCCCCCAGGACATCCTTTCATAGTCCAGCCTTTCTCTTTACATGCTGAGAGCCCTGCATGAACCATCCGCCAGTTCCTGAGGCCTAATCCTGACCTAGTACTGACCTGGGGCCATAACTCTGGGTGAAGTGGGCTAAGAGAGGCCACACTTTCCACAAGGCCCATGGCTTGTGCCCAGCAAATAACCCAGGACTCTCTCAGGGCACAGACTGATCTCCCAGCAGCGTGCCTGGGCTTCAGCCTCTCTATAGTCTTTCTTTTGACTCAGAAGTGGTGGAGGGAGCCCCATAGCCTTTACAACTTCTTCCTCCTGTTCCTGCCAACATCCTGAATCTGCAGGGGGCATTGACCTTCTCTGGTAGGGCTCCCCCTCTTTGCCCCACAAACCAGTGCCCCCTGGTGGCAGGCTGTGTTGTAGCAGAGGGCAGCAAGAAGGCCAGCTCCTGCCCTCTAAAGAGCACTGAGTCTGAAGACAGGCAGTACCAGAAAGAATGCACCATGTCCCCTCACCCTCATCTGCCTCAGAGCCATTGCAAAGCCACTTCAAGGTGGTTGCCTGAAAGGCACTTGGAAAGAGCTGCTTCCGAAAACCCAACTCAACCCAAAAAGGTCTATGATCTAAGGCTCACTAATAAATAAGTCCATGTACCCCGGAGCTTATACCCTGGTTTACAGTGAATACAAATGAGTTGAATTCAGTGGTGGGGTCGCTGACTTTTTTTAGTCCAAATTCTCTTGAGTAAGATGGCTGAGGATTCCTCTCCACCCCGAAAGATGGCCAAAAAGTTCAGTGGACTCTGGGAGATATACTTTCTTTCCCAGCTGTGAAAACAGGACAGAGACCCCCCAGGATGGGTTGGAATGCAGAGTCAGAAGAAAAATCTCTGAGGAAAGGCAACTGATCTTGCTTCTTCAGTTTAGGCCTCTCTTCAGCCTCTCTGAACAGACCCAGCACCAGAACTGCTTCCCTCCTCTTTCTCCTCCATGCTACAAGAAAATACACTAACATATAATTAGAAAAGCTATTCAGTGGCATTTGTTAAAGCACAATGAGGCAGACTTCATAACCATAAAATAGATAGGCACTAGGGCCAGTGGGATTTTGTAGTGGGGTGAAAGATGAGGCTCAACTCTGAACACAGCATGGGCAAGTCCTTCTTATGCCAAGAAGCAAGGTGACACTCATGGAAAATTGCAAGAAGAAACAGAGGTAAGGGAGTCTGGCTCAACCAACCTAACAAGGCTTTTGATAAAGATAAGCCAGAATTCCCAGACTTCAACCATGGATGAGGAGCCCAATCAGATATGAGAGTTCCTGCTCAATTCACTTAGGAAATTTCTTTGGTGAGACTGGATTTCATAGGGAAGTGCACAGGTGAGCCTAGAAGGTTCAGAGTCTGACTGAAGCAAGGCATCTTGGCTACTGTAGAGCTATTCTCTATCCCTTGGGAAAGGCATCCTCCACCACCTGAAGTTAACCTTCTACTTCCTACTACCTGCACCCCTCAGACATCCAAGACAACCAAGACTGGAACAGAAGTACAAGTGAACAAGTCATTTCAAGACATACTTAAGCATCAAGAGCTCCCCAACAAAAAGGATGTCAGGCCCAGATGTCACAAGGAAACCATAACAAACCAGGGAGAACAGACCATTTCAGTGTTACTTCAAACATACAGACATAGAACTATTAATTAGCTCTATGAAGTGAATTGAAAAATTATAGAAAAATGATTAAGATTGCATGCAGTAGAAGAAAACCAGATCCTAAACTTGCTTCCATATATTGAGGAAATATTATGAAAAAAATCAATACACAAGCTCTAATATCACATTAAATGGCATATATAATGATCAGGTATATTTTCATTCAGGATATCAAAAATGATTAAAAACTAGGAAATCTATTCATGTTAAATATTAGATATATATTTTTTTAAATCATATTATCATTTCTTTTGATTATAAGAAATCTGACAGTAACTATAACATTTTTTAAAACTCAGTAACATAAAAAGCAAAAAATTATTTCTCCATATAATCACAAACACACACACACAATTATTTTCAAAGCTAATATCTTTTGATGACAAAACACTAGAGGTAGTTACACTAAGGTCAGGAATAAAATATTTACTGGAGGTACTGCTCAATTCCATTAAGTAAGAGAAGAATTTTTAAATATAAGAATTAGAAATAAGGAGATAAAACTATCTCTAATTATAGGCAAAACAATCAATGGTACAAAACCATTAACAATAAGAGAATCTTGTAAGTTGACAGGATGCAAAATTAGCATAGATAAACAAATAGTATTCCTATTTGCAATAATTAAACAGAAAGTAGTTTAGATGAAAACTATTTATAATAGCAGCAAAAAAAGATAAAATAAAAATAAATTTAACAGGAAATATGCAAAAGCCATATGAAGAAAACTTTACTCTAATATATCAAAATATATACTTCAAATGACACTCTAC